AAGTAGTATACCTCACCAGATCCTGGAGGGACATAATACATTCTGCCTATGCAAAAACGTCTCTTCCGCGGTTGCCACGCTTTTATATCCTTTTTCCAAACAAATTTCTCTGGGAATTCAGCGTATGTCAAGCTCCGAGCTTCATCATAAATTTTATTTGCTTCAAACCAGCCTAGAAACATATTTTGGTTTAATGTATTTCTTGCTATGATCTTCTCCAATGCTTCATTATCTGAAAATATAATGCTCTGCTGATTTGGTAAGTGAAAGGCAAGACGTTGCACGGGAGGATCACGATGTTGTATTTGAAATCCAAATATCCGCCAACATGCCTCACAAGGTGAAATGTACCTACAATCATAGTACATGTCGACCTCGTCCACTTCCTTTACGTTGGGTGTTTCTGTTCCACTTGCATAAAATGATGCAGTAACATGATCATGACCCTTGTTCACATATTTGAACAGATATTTTATGGATCGAGATTGATTACACCATTCAACATTAATGTGAGCACCATATTTCATCAATAAGTAGCGATTGTGGGGCACAACATGTCGGTTGTCTAAGGTTACATCATTCTTAACAACATGTCTGCCGTTATTCCGTCTTCGGTAAATGGGATAACCTTCTTCATCTAAACACGTGTTATCAACAAATCGTTTGGGATAGTGTTTTGTGCATTTCCCATCCTTCATGCACGGTGAGTTTGGTCTTGCAGTACCACACGGGCCATGTACCATACAATCCCGAACTGCAGCATAGTATGTTGGATCAATCTCTTCATTGGATATTTCCGCAGAAATGATGTTATCAATGTCAGCCGTAGAAATACCCGATTGGTCCCTATTAATGAATAACAAAATGTGGGCATGTGGCAATCCTCATTTTTGGAACTCAATAGTGTATATAACTGCCAAAAAAATAATAATTGGCGGATCAATGAAATTAAAATATTTGATATTGCTCATTCTCAAATTATTATAATGAAACATTTATGACACATATTATTGTGAAATATAATACCTGCTCTTACTTTACCAAAAATTCCTTTTTTGCGCAAATCTATAATCAGCATATCCAACTTCATCTTAAACACACGACACAAAACATCAGGACGGTCTTCCGGGTTAAGTCCTTTGCTCTGTACATGTCTTGTTATTTCAGGCCATTTTGGATTACATGTAAATGTGATGAATAAATTTGGATACCCCACCCACTTGCAAATTGCCATAGCATCTTGATAATTTTGAACCATGTATCTAGCACCTCCAGTGAATGAAGAAGGCAATATGACACGCTGTCCTTGCAATGCCGCATTCCTCTCTCCTCGTAACAGGGCATCAGTGAGACCACAATATAGTTCACAGCGCAGTTCTTTTTTATGAGTGCGGATGTATATTAATCTTGAATACTCAACCATGGTATATGCATCAACCACAATTTGTTGGAAGAGACGTTTTGAATGAAGGATGAGAGAAACCTATGTAGCCCTGTCTTGTAAACGAAAGGCAAAATACTCCCTCATACTTACATATTTCCTGCCTTCATCCTCGTCTTCATCTTCTTCTACATTAACGCAAGCCAATAAGATGTCATGTCGATATCCATCTTCCCCGAAAGGGAATAACAAAGGATATTGCAGAGGGAGATATGAAGGATGCAATTCACTAATGCGCTGTGGTTTCATATCTCTAGTTTGAACAATGATATCACGACTACCCATTGTTTCGTCGAAGTCACCCACGAGTAATGCTGCAACCTCATCAACCGACGGTAGGTTATATGTTCTTCCATCGCCACCCCTTTTTTCAATCAACCTTAATTTGACATTCGAGCTTACACCTTGTGAAAGTTTTTCGCGTGCCATACGGAAGGATTTGACCAGGATATTAAATTCATCTAGTATTGCCTGAAGTTCCTTAACAATGATATCATGAAAATTTCTTTTATCATCGATCTTGATTCTGCATTTAGAAAACAACAATGTCAATAAATTGTTTAAAAATGCAATACAAATATAATAATTCATACATATACCTGTTAGATCGTATCCTATTGTTGATCTCGTTTGATGTATCATAAATGTACAATTGCGCAAACCTAGGATTTTGACCTTCTGGTGGAAGTAATGTTCCAATTTTATGATAGTTTTGCCCATTCAGGCTGTAAGTAGGTGGTCCTCCTCCAT